ATTTCGGTGCTGTACGGATTTCGGTCCCGCACGGTATCCCTGCTTTTCTGATCACACCTTCTAACGCGATGTTTAATAGCAGACACGAAAGTCCATCACCTTGCCGTAACCCCCTTCGAGATTCAAAGGGACTCGAGAGTGTCGCGGAGCTCTAGGATCAGTTTCATGGATTGACCCCTTTTACGGATGTTCTGGATCTTCCGGAGAACATCCAGGTTCATGTTTATGTCACAACCCCAAATTCTTTCTATCATGTTAAAAAAAAACGCGGAGCTCTAGGATCAGGATAGTGCATTTACCACTTTTACGGATGTTCCGGATCTTCCGCTGGACGGTCGATGGCCATCTGGGTCCATGACCCAAATTCAATCTTATATCACAGATCCTAATGTTAAAAAAACACGGAGCTCTAGGATCAGTTTCATGGATTGACCACTTTTACGGATGTTCCGGATCTTCCGCTGGACGGTCGATGGCCATCTGGGTCCATGACCCAAATTCATTCTTATATCACAGATCCTAATGTTAAAAAAACACGGAGCTCTAGGATCAGTTTCATGGATTGACCACTTTTACGGATGTTCCGGATCTTCCGGAGGACGGTCTTATGGACATCCAGGTTCATTTTTATGTCACAACCCCAAATTCTTTCTATCATCACAGTTCCTAATGTTTATAAAGAAACGCGGAGCTCTAGGATCAGGATCGTGGATTTACTACTTTTACGGATGTTCCGGATTTTCCGCTGGACGGTCCGATGGCCATCTGGGTCCATGACCCAAATTCATTATTATATAACAGATCCTAATGTTAAAAGAAACGCGGAGCTCTAGGATCAGTTTCATGGATTGTCCACTTTTACGGATGTTCCGAATCTTCCGGAGGACGGTTCCATGGCCATCCAGGTACATGTTTATGTCTCGACCCCAAATATTTTTTTTATATCACAGTTCCTAATGTTTTCAAAAAAAAACCGCAGAGCTCTAGGATCAGGTTCATGGATTGACCACTTTTACGGATGTTCCGGATTTTTCGAGGACCGTTCCGATGTGTCCTGGATCCATATATAGGAACCATGACTGTATTCTGGCTAATTGTGAACATTTGTGCATATTAATCTAAATCACAGATCTTGCGGCACTTGTAAAACCCTACAAAAACACATTTAAAAAAAAGTGTAACAACTCTTTTCAATTTAAAAAAAGTAGACGACTCTATTTTCAATCTTTTTGCAATCAAAACCATCTACAATCCCTAGGATTTCTAAAGGTACCACATTTTTTGAAATTCATTGAGAAATGGCTAAGTTATGCCATTGCAAACTTGCCGTTACACGTTTTTCGGAGGCATCGTATTCGGAGTGTTAAAAATGTTTCCCGTTATAGGTTAGCGCATATCTTCGGAGATGAATCTGTTAACATGTGCAAAAATCCGAACCTATAAGATGAGCGGCGGAGCGGTACTCATGACAAAGTTCAATCATAGAGGTAACTCTAAGACCAGAAGGTCCCGAAGAAACGAGCTCAACTTTTTGGCTCAGCTCTGGTACTATCTTCGATACTAATCGATACACCCCTTGAGCTAATTTAAAATCGTTAGTTTTGTATTGATTGTTGGTTAAATCGAGTTTTAAACAGCTGCAAAGCTATGCCACTCGGTTGCTCTGTGCGACATGGAAGTACAGGAGATTGCTGTCTGCATTCGAGATCACAGCATTTGCTTGTGGTCATCTGAGATGACTGCGCATAGAAACCGTCAATTGATTGAGGCCGTCAAATGTCCAGCGCTGCATTTCCGCGAATGTTAGAGGGGAAGATAACTGTTTGTTAGTTTTTAGTACAATAAACGAGGCAAAACGTTTCAACGATATTCATATCTTCATACCTTTTATTTGATAACTTGGTTATGTCTTTGATTGCAAGGGATCCACGGGGCAAAATTTTCAATAAAATGGGTACTCTTTACTCATGCATAGAAAAAACATGAAGGGTACAAAATAACCATTTTCTGAAGTATTCGCCAAATACTCATTAGAGAGTAAGTCTAGTTTTACTCATTTCATGAGTTAAGCCACTTTTCTTAAAAAATGAGTAAAATTTTACTAATTATTGGGTACTTTTAAGTTAGCGTGTAGGCATTGTTTTCATTTTCTTCAGAGTCAAGAAGAGTCCCACCAAGAGTGAAGCCAGAAGTACCAATCGAACTGTCAAGCGGGGTACAAAACAAGCAAAGTAAATAAACATTATTGTTCCCACAGCTAGTGAACTACAAGTATTGCATTAATTATTGGCAATATTTTAGTAATTTTAGATGAAACATATTTCTTCGCTTTATTTAGTACATTATGGTATTTATAAATTATGCCATCACTTGTTTGAACATTTTTTAAGGTTCTATAATTGTTTTTGTCTCCCAGAAGCTCCGTTACCGACAAGAAATTTTTCACTTCTAAATTAAAGTCATCCGATGCTAACGCAAAAAATCTGGTTGCCGTTTACTCTGACGAAAAATAAATCACATACAGTGCTGATTGTTCGCAACATTTTCTCTTGGAGTGACTCTTATAATAATAATAATAATAATTTCTTCTGTAGTTTCGCCTTTTCTCATCATCGTACTACCAACAATCAATAGGAAACTAACGATTTTAAATTGGCTCACCACTTTAGTAGCCTATTGGTCCCAAGCAAACGATTAACGTACCCTATTCTAGTTGAAATTCTATTACTACACTATGTTTGTTTTGATTCGCTATGAAAGTTTGACAGATAACATCAGGGGTGTGTGGATTCATGCAGAACATGCAGGGGTGAGTGAAATAGCTTGGGACTGCTTGGGACCGTTGTTCTGGTACTGAGTGAGCCAAAAATAATAATGATTCTCTTCGGGACCCAGTGGTCTTAGAGTTACCTCTATGGTAATATCGTGCCTTTACCAACTAGTGTTTGCCAAAACGAACCCTGCAGCAAACCAAAGCCTTGCTAATGATTTCTCGTGGAAGTTCAGAGAATTTCTCAGCTTTTAACAAAGCGAGTATCACGTCAGCATATTCCAACTTATTCCTAAATTTACCTTTTTTCGGACGCGGCCGGTCCAAATATTGCCTATTTGAAAAGTTTGCAAGCATCATCTGTTGGTTCTGTGAAACATCAGGTTATCTAGCAATAACGGAATAGCAACCACGGGCGGTTATTCATGCTCATTATACTGATGCAAAATTTGACTTTTTCGCTCCACAGTGTTAAGCACTGGTTTCAAATCGGGTCTTGATTAGCCTCCCAAAGTTACAACTCATTTGTTTAGAAACAGACTTCGCACAAGCCATTTGAAGTTTACATGTAAATTACTATGGTAAATCTCAACTTTTTGTTCATTGCCTTCTAGTATTTTTCCATATTGAGCTGCGAGACAGTTCGATAGCCATTCTTATAGAAAATTTTCTCAGCTACAACTTTGCTCAAGATCGTTTCTATGTAAAACGAGACAGGAAAATGTTATTAATTATTTAAGAGATTGGTAAACTTATGACATGATCAAGCAGCTGCTCTGTAGGCAACACTGTATTTTGCAGTGTGGCATAGTAGCCATGATTTTTGTGTCCTATTCAACGCCCCAGAAACACCACGCTGAGCAGTTGATTGAGCATGATCATAAGACATCAGCGCATTGAACCATTGATAACTTTCGATCCTTTCATTTAATCAAAAAGTGGTCTTCAGCAAAGTTGTAGCTGGGAAAATTTCCTACAAGAACAAATGAAAGTTTTTGACAAGAACAAATGAAAGCAGACCGATATGGTGAATTGTTAGATAGACATGAACAAAAATCTTGGTATTACCATAGTAATTCCCATACAAACTTCAAATGGTTTGTGCCATCTCAGTTTCTCACCAAATGGGTTCAAATTTTGAGAGGTTAGTCAGGATCCGATTTGGAATCGTTCAAGTATTGTGGAGCAAAAATTTGACCACCACCTTGATGCTTGGGACCATCATCTGTTGGTTCTGTGAAATATCAGGTTATCTAGCAATAACGGAATAGCAACCACGGGCGGTCATTCATGCTCATGCTCAACGCGTAATTAGTATTTATCTATTTTAGTATTGATGAGACGATCTATTCTGTGCCCTAGACTGAAAGCCCCTTCAGCAAAGATTTAAAACAATCTTTTTCCTAATTCCTTTCAGAACAGTAACCGCCAACTGATAAGATTTGTTAGTTTGGAATCGTAAAATTTTAAAATCAATTTAAATCCATGATAGAAACGTAAATAATTCTGATTCGGAAATTTATAGAATATTCTTGGTGCGTTATTAACGTAATTTTTTAGATCGTCCCAGTGTATGATACAAACATGACAAAAATCAGGATCTAAAAAAATTGTAAAATTTATCTTAGATCTTAAAAGAAAACATAATTCCTTCGGTGTAAAATTAAGCTGACTTTCTTCAAATGTAAGGAAGTGATAAACTTCACATCTCTGGTTCAAGTTTCCAAATAGACCAATTGATCGATTCTCTTCATCGACTTTCACTTTCGTTAGTAACTCCGGCTACAAAAACAATTCCTGACGTATTTATCGTATTGGAATCCACCAAACTATGTGTCGAAAATATCCACAAATGCCTTTATACCTTTGACAGACATTATTGTAGTAACGTTGTACACCTTTAATCAAGTACCGCAATCGACGTACTAGATTAAATTAGTACAACGATTCTACAATCATGTATGTCAAAGTTATTACAGGTATGGCGATCCAAAGAGAAAGTCGATGCAGAGAATCAATCAATAATCAATTATTGGTCTATTTGAAAATTTGTGCGAGAATTCTGGAGAGAGCCACGCGTCCCTCTTGACATTGTTGTTACTATATGATAACGTATATTGGTACCATGTGAACGGATTGCAGCATGTGAGATTAACTTCCAGAAACAACGACACAATCATTTGTCTCAACCACTAATGTTACATTCTATTTCTCCTACTTCAACACACAGGCATTCGTATCGTGCGAGCTGGGACCAAACAGCGTCGCAGGTGCCATGGTCGGTATGGGGGTAATGCAGTTGATTGCAGCGTGCACCTTGAGCATGCTGCTGAGACACACCAAACGGGTAGTCGTGATAAGTATGTTGAATATTCCTCCTAGCAAAACTGACGACAGTAACGCGATGAATCTCTCGATTTCAGTTGCCGGATTCATTTTCCACGCATGTCTCCTGCTGGTTCTGCTACGCTGGAAACCATCGCGAGACGACAGTGCCGTTCTCTACGTAATCCCAGCCGCCTGGGGAGTCTGCAACGCCGTCTGGGAGACGCTGACGACTGCACTGGTCACCCTGTCCCACACGACCAAGGTAGCCGAAGTGATGTCTCCTCTGCAAGCGCTTCGTTTCCTAGGCCTTGGCATCACCTTCGCCGGGCATGGAGTGCTGTGCGAAGCTCCAAAGATCATAATCCTTGCTATCATGCTGGTGATTTCTGTCATTCCTTACACCATGCTCGAGTTGAAGCTCGAAACTCAAAGAAAAGCCGCCAAAGTAAACTTATGACGATTCTGCGCACACGATTACTAATGTTTGCTGAAGTTAAAATACTTCTAAGTTCCCTGAGGAAGACCTGAGGAGTATTTTAAAGCCACGCTGAAATTGGTAATTGATGTTTTTGAACGAATCATTAAAAACACAAACCAATAAAGAGACAAACATAAAACCCCGGTTGTTCATGAACGGCAAAGTTAACAAATATCCAGAAACTTTCAATAAAATCGAAATGATATCTACATAACAACGGTAATGATTAAACTTGTTTGATTAAGCTCTGTTCAATTCCTAATCATGACACAAAGAACTTGTGAATTTAGAGATCATTCTACTCATGGCAAGACACTAACTAGAATCAAATATTAGAAATTGATCGCACCTTTTTCTGTCTCTAAAATTTAGGACTTAAAATCAAGGACAATGCAACATAATTATCTAGAACATACCTTCAACGTTAGCCAAATCACATCAACTTCCTTTTTGTGTGTATGTAAGGGTAGCACTACGAATCAGAATACTCTGAAACTAAGCCAATCAACCTATGAAAGCTGCATGAAACTTGTGCCAAGATGCCTAAAATAAAAATAAACCAAATAGGAGATCAAAGTAGGATATAGTGAAATTGTGTTGAATAAAAGTAGCAGTATTTTACAATTGAAAATACATTGTTACTTTGGAAGCACATTCGTGCCAATCGACATCCGGAAACTGTCTGCCTCGTTAAAACTGAAACCTATATAGGACGCATATAAGTAGGAAAAGAACAGATTTAGGTATCAGAAATGTGAAACCTAATACCCATTACCCATTAGGAGCTCCTGAATAGAATCACGAGTAGTGGAAGGCGTTGTGCTAGTATATCTGAAGATGTCTCATCTACTGCAGCATCAGATTGATTTGGAATTTGTCAATACTGCAGACGTTCTCAATTTTGTGTGTGTTAAAACTCAAAAGTACGACGGAAGACGAATTAGCTCTGCATTATTATGTATTAGTCGCAAGAGTAGCATTACATGAATTTGTGAATAAAGGACTAGTCGAAGACAGTGAATATAATTGTCGGGGATTTTTTGTTGCAAATAATGACTCACCATATTTACACAGACAAACAGATGTATCTGACGCACATTGCATCCATTAATTACGTCTAACTAAATTCAGAAAAAAATACCCCCTTCCCTTTCCCCACGTTTTTCTTATGCCTTATTAATTGCTTTTCAAAGATTTTGAGTCCCCCTCTGACGAATTCAATGTATCGCCTCTTAGCCTGTGTCCCAATTGTCGAGTTAAAAGTGACATTTCGAAAGTTATTTTCAATGTTAGAAAATAACGGTGTTATCGTTGAATCGGTTTTCAAACAGAACTCAGCAACGGTTGCCAAAATTTCTAGTCTGTCAGAAATAACTTCTAGTCTGTCAGAAATAACTACGCTGAATTTATTAATGGTGGTAAGCTCCAACCGGTATTATCCTCGGATTAAATCCCGATCAAGAATGTCCGGCTGGTTTGATGTCGACATCAGAGTTAATCAACATAATTCTGAGCAAACATTTTTCAGATCATACAAACAGGGACGGTATTAAAAGTTAATCCGAGTTGGAGCTTACCGCCATAAGAGACGACATCTTATTGGCAAATCAAAGTTGGCACTCGTGGAGAATAGAAGAACTATGAGAGTGATGATGGTTTCAAAATTTTACACGGTGAGGTATACGAGTGCAATCTTAAAATGCTTTTATTTTGCAAATGGAGCATTTTATTTAAATCCGGTTGATGCTATGTTAGTAGAAAACTTAAGGACTACTCAATAGACATATAATATAGAAAAAATAATTTCTTTTCAGATTTTTATGTGTAGACATAGATTTTAGCTTTTCTACAACTATAGCAGCAACCAGATTTAAATAAAATGCTCCATTTGCAAAATAAAAGCATTTTAAGATTGCACTCGTATACCTCCCCGTTGGAAAATTTTGAAACCATCATCACTTTCATAGTTATTCTATTCTCCACGAGTGCCAACTTTGATTTGCCAATCCATTTGACACGTCTTCTGCTCGATTGGAATGACTTTTCCTATGACTTTGACAATCGATTATTCCAATTTTGACATGTCGTCCCTTTATAAATTCACGCTCTTCAGCTCGGATAGCATCGATCTGTCTCTTTTATTTACACACATCTCGAAAATTAATGCCCCATTTCACCTGAAATTGCTATTTCCTGTATGCTGCAGTAGAGCAAACGTGGAGTAACAGTTTCATTGTGGTACGTATCGTAGAAGCTGATATTTCTGCTCTTAAAGTTTCGAAGTGGCTACGAGAGAAAGGATCTCACAGCGAAACACCAAATATATCATATTAGTACAATATATTTGGAAACACCTTAAACCAAGGTGACTGCATATAGGTGTTCTAATGTGTCAAATTCATGATTCAGCCATGTTGGATTTTTATATGGGACAGCGACCGCGTTTGTTTACAATTTGCTCTAAAACCGCACTGCCCCCTCCCCCACCCCCACGACCTCCTCGCCTATATAGTGACAAAGCTGTATCACCATGTATATACCCACCATGCCTTAAACTAGATCAGTGAATTCATTGTCGTGCCAGGTAAGAAGCCAGTTGTCTCCTCTTCCTCTTTGGTTTTATTCAGCATTGTACACTGTTATAAAGCTTTTATTCAAGATATATGCACAGACAAACAGACATAACTCTTAGAAGAAAATTCTTCCAAAAATATTGTCAAGTGCACTAGCACCAACAATCAATACTAACGATTTTAAATTGGCTCACCACTTTAGTAGCCTATTGGTCCCAAGCAAACGATTAACGTACCCTATTCTAGTCGGAATTCTAGTACTACGCAATGTTTGTTTTGATTCGCTATGATAGTTTGACAGATAAAATGAGGGGTTATTGGTTTTTCCTATGTTTCGAGGGATGATTCGACAAGCTTGGGACCGAAGATAGTACCAGAGGTGAGCCAAAAAGTTGAGCACGTTTCTTCGGGACCTACTTGTCTTAGAGTTACCTCTATGCTAGCACCATAGAGGTAACTCTAAGACCAGAAGGTCCCGAATAAACGTGCTCAACTTTTTGGCTCAGCTCTGGTACTATTTTCGGTCCCAAGCTAATCGATTCACCCCTTGAAACATTGGAAAATCCACTAACCTCTTATTTTATCTATCAAACTTTCATAGCGAATCAAAACAAACATAGTGTAGTACTAGAATTTTGACTAGAATGGGGTTCGTTAATCGATTTGCTTGGGACCAATAGGCTAGTCAAGTAGTGAGCCAATTTACAATCGTTAGTTTCGAATTGATTGTTGCTAGCACCATCTATCATCCACATTCCCAAGCATTGATGTGCAACTGGAGCATCTCTCGTTCATGCCATTTTTTCACCAGTTGCTTTTCCCTCGTTTTGTCACCGCGTCAGCTGTGTTGAATAAAAACAAAACATATGGAAGTCAGTGATGTCGTTTCTACTAAATTTTCCGTAGATCTATAGAATTGATTGAATTCTGCAGAAATAAGGATTCGTAGGAAAAATTCACAGAAGCTAAGTCTTTTTTTAGGGATTTGTTTTGTTTGTTTAGTGTGCTTATTCTTTTGCTGGCAACAATTTTTTTTAACAAGGTAATGCATCACTTTCTACCACTGCACATCACTTTAAAGTGTGTACAGCAAAAAATATAATATGTATCAATCAATGAAATTCATGGTGAAGTATTGAACATCAATAACTGGTAAAAGGGGTAAAAGTTGATAGAATATTACACTCATCAACATGATTTGTTCTCGAATTCTGTGTTAATCGTACAGCGTAATATTAGGAACGGAATGACTAATGTGCAGCACTTTTGATGTAATATTCAACAACTTTTTTTCTGTATTCGTCAGATGTGGTATGTGTCTCCAGTTGGATGCCTTGACCACTTATCATTTTCCAGAGCAGACATCTACTAACTAGACGTGAAAAAGAACTGGCATCACTGATAAGTTCGAAATTTGGTGGCTTGTTCAATGCTTCAGTGGCACCACCATGACAAATGCAAGCACATTCCCAACTAAAACATTATTTGCGATTAATGTGATTGTAAGTGTTATGTCTGTTTGTCTGTGATATATGGTTTAGCGTGCCCTGCCTTTTTTCCTTCTTGTTAACATTCGGAAAAAGAATTCCCCAGCTTTGCCACCCGCATAAACGCGAACCATAAATTGACCGTACCAAAAATGGTTAAAAATTGTTTATAATCCCTGCTAAACTTCAACTGAAATGGTTATGGAACTTTACAAGAACGTTTAATGATAAAGTTTTAACCTTATGTATTATGGTTTTTTGGAAGCGGACCTTACAAATAATGAGTTGTTAAGAACCATTACCATTCAAAATTCTTGTTTTCTCCATATATTTTCGGGAGGAGGACTATATTATAACCTTTTAACTTATGGTTTGAGAACATTAATGGTTATGGTTATGGTAGTCAGTAAAGTCCATGAATAGTTTTGTAACATTGATCAACTTTATGTGGAATATATCGCGAATTGGTTGCCTGTAAATTACTGATTACCAATTCATGATATATTCCACGTAAAGTTGAGCGATAATACAAAACCATTAATGGACCTTACTGACTATCATAACCATAACCATTAATGTTCTCAAACCATAAGTAAAAACGTTCTAATATAGTTCTCTTTTCGAAAATGTATGGAGAAAACAAGAATTTTGAATGGTAATGGTTCTTAACAACCCATTATTTGTGAGGTCCGCTTTCAAAAAACAATAATACATAAGGTTAAAACTTTATCCCACAAACGTTCATGTAAAGTTCCATAATCATTTTAGTTAAAGTTTAGGAGGGATTATAAACAATTTATAATTATTATCGGTAAGGTCAAGTTATGGTTCGCGTTTATGCGGGCAATCAACTGAAAACGGCCCGCAACAAAACCGTAGTCATGGATCCGGAAACCCACCTAGGTAAGCGTCTTAACAAAGTTCCAGCTCGATAGAACCGGAGGAACCCCACAGTATCGGCGTCACTCTGTCGTTTCTGATGCCGATCCCTGTATCATCCTCCTCCACAACTGACGTCGGAAGAAAAACGAGTATCCGAAATGGATTTTGAATCTATTCCAGCAAACAATTTTGTTGGTTTGATTTAAATGGGCTTCTTTATTGATTGGAAACTTCTTTATGAAATGAAACAAATAAAAATTTCGTATTAAATAATAACAGCCCAGTGTTTTTTCAGCGTGTACTACACTGTTTTTATCAGTGTAGAGTTCCACACATCCAGCGCGCTGCCGCGGCTCCGGGATCTAATCCCACTCTCACTCTGTGGAACTTATGTTTCTCGCTGAAATTCTCACTCTTGTTTTGTTGTTGTTTGCTCCGTTTGCTCATCTTCGGTGGCAGCTGTCAAACTTCGGCTCTTCGATGTCGCATCATCTTCATTCTTTTATCATTCACATCCGAATCCGACCGAGCTAATCGAACTGTGCGGGAGTGATTGGCTGACACGTATATTCTTCCTGTTGTGTTCTCTGGAAAATTAGCCGTATTTACCGCTATTTTCTGTTGGAAACGATCAAAAACCCGTTTATCGCAATGTTTCGCAAGTAATCTACCGGCTACCGGTGAAGTTGGCGTGTGTTTGATCGCGAAAAAGTGCCGAGAGGGTATCTCGGTTCAAAAACTGGACCGAAACGAAAAAAAACTTAGAAGAACAAGCAGAAGCAACAAGGGTTGCGGACGGAAGTACGGCTGTAAAAAATGGATGCACTCGGGATTGTTTTGATTGCGGTTCTGCTGGTGGTGATGGAGGTGAACGGTGAAGCGGTGGTGAATTCCGGTGGTCCACAGATGGTGAAACTGCTGGACGAACCAAACTGCCCACAGCTACGGGCGCTTTGCCCCAATGTTCCGAATGGGGCTGAAGATCTGAAGGCACTGGAGTGCATGCAGAACTTGTCCCAGGAACAAGTGGACGCCCTGACGGATGATTGCCAGCATTTGATCTGGAGCCACACGCTCGCCCTAATGGATGATAAGAACGTACAGCGGTTGGTGCAGAAAGGTAAATAAATGGCGATTGTTTGGATTTTGCATTATTCATAAGCAGTGCTGCCAATCTGATCTGGTTCTGTGTTTCAGGTTGTCCCAAACACTACGATAAATTTCCTTGTTCGGTCCAGTCGGATGCGGGTCAATTCTTGGCTTGCGTGATCGATCACCGGGATCTTATCAAAGGCAACGGCTGTCGGGAGTTTATTCAACGATTGGAATACGTAGCCTTTTCGGATTATCGGTTGATAGGGCCATTTCTGAAGGATTGCACCCGGGACATCGAGACGCTCAGTTGCGGACGGATCAGTAACGATAACCGGAAAGTGTCGCAAGGGGAAACCATTTCATGCCTGCAGAATCAATTGGACCGGTTGAATGGGGAGTGCAAGAAGGGCGTGTTGCATTTGTCGGAAATTCAGAGTGACGATGTCAAGTTGGATCGGCAGCTGTTCCTGTCCTGTGCAGTAGATGCCATTCGGTTCTGTCCGTCGATTCCTCCGGGGTCGCACATGGTTCTACGGTGTTTGATGAAGAACCGAAACGATGCAAGTATGACTGACCATTGCCAGAAGCAGCTGTTGCGAAGGGAAAAGCTGATAGCTCACGATTACAAAGTGAGTAAAGGATTGACGCGAGCTTGCAAGGAGGACATTAAGCTCCATCACTGTCGGCGGGGTGTTTCCGACGATAAGGATGTTCGGTTGGCGCAGATTTTACTCTGTCTGGAGGCAGTCCAAAAGAACAATACAAAGTTGGGCTCTGATTGTGTTGCCGAGATCAACGACCATAGAAGAATGTTGATGGAGGACTATAAACTTTCGCCGGAGATTCTGACCGGTTGTGCGGATGATATCGAAAAGTTTTGTAGTAATCTTGATGCCGGAGGCAAAACGATCCACTGTTTGATGGACCACGCCAGACCGAAGAAGAAGAAGGAACGTCGTGTGACGGAAGTTTGCCAGCGTGCCCTGGAGACGCTCGTTAAGGTGGCCGATGTCGGTGAAGATTGGCGTGTCGATCCGGTGCTGAGGAAAGCTTGCAAACCTGTGGTGGATGTTGCTTGTTCCGACACGGAAGGCGGCGATGCACGGGTCATGTCCTGTCTGATGGAGAAAATCGGCACGAACTTCATGAACCAGGAATGTGAAACTGCATTGCTACAGATTCAGTATTTCGTCGCTAGAGATTTCAAACTGGATCCGCAGCTTTACAGGTGAGCGAAACGGTTTCGTTATCAAATTAGAAATTTCTCAATGTTACATTATTTCAGAAATTGCAAGGATGACGCCATTCGGTTCTGCAAAGCGAAGAAAACGTGGGCCGATTTGGAAACGGGACAGATGGATCCGGAGCGGGGACCGCTGATCCTTCCCTGTCTGCATCGCTATGCCTACCATCCGGAGAAGGAAATGCAGCTGAAGCAGGAGTGCTTCCAGGAGGTCAAACGGGTCATGCGTCAGCGAGCACGTTCCGTCGATTTAATCCCCGAAGTGGAAGACGAATGCATCGACGATCTGGCTTATTTCTGCTTCGACAAAACCGGCAAAGGCGAGGAGATGCTGTGTCTGCAGGAGAATCTGGAAAAACTCCAGCAAAAGTGCAAGGATGCCGTAAGCAGTTTTACCGAAGAGGAAGCAGCACACATCGAGCTGAATCCGGTGATCATGACCGTCTGCGGAGATGCCATGCAGAAACACTGTGCGGAAATTCTCAAAACCGGCAAAGACGAAGGTGACATGATGGAGTGCTTGATTTCCTACAAGAACGACCCGGACATGCGAAACGACGTCAAATGCCGAGCAGCGGTCGAACACTTCCAGATCATAACGCTGAAAAACTACCATTTCACGTACAAATTCAAGGAAGCCTGCCGACCGTACGTGGCCCGTTTCTGTCCGCAGAGCAACACCAAGTACGACGTGGTGACTTGCCTCAGCGAGGTGATGCGAAACGATACGATCAAGGGGGCGAAGCATTCGATTCCGAAAGAGTGCCGCCAGCAAGTGCGGGCCCAGTTGTACCAGCAGCGGGAGAACATCGACTTCGATCCGAAACTAAAGGCCGCCTGTCGAGACGAGATCAGCACGTACTGCTTCAACATTCCGCACGGATCCGGCCAGGTGAATAAGAACAATGCAAGTGTGGTTTGTCCTTTGATTCATTCATTTAATGTGGTTCATGTTTATGTGTGTTGAGTCATCTTTCGGGGGTGTGAGTCTGATAATTTTATCATGATCGGATGGTTATTTTTATAAACTCAATTAAGTGATTGAAAACTTTGAATTGTGTGCCGGCAAACTACATTTTGTTGCTGATCGTGGTGAATACATGGAACTTGGCTTGTTTTTTTACTATTAATTTATTTGATCAGGCTCAATCGAATTAACTGTACAGAGCCGAGGATTCTTGTTCACTATACAATATATCTTAAAACTATACTCACAAGGTACAACACAATAAACACTTTATCTTCCGCTATCCAATAAGCTTCCTCGATCAGAACGGGAGCCGCTCCCAGTGGTTTCATTGTATGGCAGAATCGCCAACGGGGGGCAGAGCGCTTCCATTACAGCAATGGACGCAAAACGTGGTCAGCACTCACGGAACGGTTGCTTTCTAAAGTCGACGACGCATCTACCGAAAGAACTGGTGATGAAGAACAATGAGGAGTACCACACAATGGTTGCTGCCGAGTAAGCAGACAATCGCGTGACACACATCGAGAGTGGCCTGCTTCTGTCGACAGCCGAGTGAACACTGGGAACTTAGCTTGTTGTCCCACGTCTTTAATAGACTTGGAGCCTGGAGCCTTATTGCCAAGCAGGAGGCGGCAGGTTCGATTCCCGGTCTGGCCTAGAAGACCTGTTTTGGATAAGTTGAGTCAAAAGAAACAATCCAAAGTATGTCAAGATCATCAACACTTCCTGAATAAGGCGTTGAAAGCTGCAAGCGAAGGCATAATTTTTTTTTTTGTTTTTATTTCTTTATTAAGGAGAAAGCGAAGGCATAAGTTATTAACGAATATATAAAGATCAATATGCCTCAGACAGTCATATGCCTAGTCAATAAAGGCACGATATTACTAAGCAGGAGGCGGTTGTTTTTGATTTCCGATTCGGTCAAGGAAATCGTTCGGGTTGGAACTGTTCTCGATTTCCCTTGGCATAGAGTATCATCGTAATTGTCACACAATCTACACATTCATGCATTGGTTGGCATAGAAAGCTCTCAATTAATAACTGTGAAAGTGCATCAAGAACAATTATGCTGTTGCGACGTTGGTTGCACGTCATACGTCGAAGCTGAATGAAACTCGTCACAGAAAATTGATTATTTTATCGGGTTAATTCCATTGCGCACCTAATTTGACGAATACATTTTTTGTCAGCTTTCCTCAAATCGGTGGTTGTGAACATGGTTAAAAACAAGTTCAACAAGTGTTGACTTAAACTGTAGCAATCTACGATCCTGTTTGTACGTTGGTAGTACTGAGAAAAAAAATCTAGAATTAGTAGTTTTGGCAACACGATGCCTCCGGTAAAATGTGCAACGGCAAATTGGCAATGTTTAAAAACCCATTACTCAACAATTTACCGGTAGATTTTAAATCCGGATAAATCCTTAAAATATGTAGTTTCAAATGGCGCCAAAAGATTTAAAATTCGCCAATAAATGGCTGAGCTATGATTTTTCAAACATTGCAAGTTTCAAAGTGTTTTTATTTTACTTCATACGTGAAGTTTACGATTTTCAGAGTTGGTTGGAAATGCTATCCAACGTGAAGCTTTAGTGTGATAATTTATTAGCTAGAGAAAGGTCTGAAGATGGTATGTAGATAGTTCCGCTAGAGTACGGCAGTATGAAAGTTGACAATGAATGAAGGTCCATTAATGTGACAGTACTAGTCGAACGCACACTTCTTTACCTAGCTCATAAAATGTATAAGGAGACACACCAGAAAATTAATTGTAAATTGGCTCGCCGCTATTTTAATTCATATATAAGCAAATTCATTCATCTGAAAGAGCTTCGTTTTCTGAGCACAACTATATTTTTATCTATCCCATAGACATTCATCTTTAAATCAAGATTTAAATTGTTAATTTCTGACACTAAATACATTAGATGACAGCTCGCTCCCATACTAAGTCCCACAGAGGGGTTCTAAGATGGTGATTCTTCCTAATGTAATCTTAATTATTTGAAATAGTTCCAGGGCACCAAAATTGATAAAAATTTAGTATTTGGGTTCCATTTTTAATGCAGATTACGAATATGTATTTACCTCAATACCCCTAAACAACCCAATTCTGTATACAAATATGCAGGGGAACTTTCCAATTGCTACTGTGAACATTGTTCGTTGCTTTCTAAAAGATCGTTCTTTCGAAGTGTCAGTTATTTATCAAACCGCTGAAAATTAATGGGTTCCATTTGGTGTTCCTCCACCATGTCTTCCGGCTTCTCCCAAAATTTCATCTTGAATGCAGAACTTCAGATAATCTTTTGCTGGAAAGTCTGGTTTTGTAAACATGTGATACTAGATTAGGTTCCTTTTTATCAAAAATACACAAAATTTTCTCTAACTAGGTATCCAAAAACTATCGCAATGTTGTAGTTTAGTCCATTACAGCTTAGTACCAGTTAAGACAAATATAGCTATAAGAAAGATCAAAATTACATTTTCTGTATCAGACCAATCATCCTCGAAAAAAAAAAACATCTTTCAAGCTCAATGTTGTATGTGATTGTGTTAGTAAAACTTCTTAAATGTCTACATTTGTCCCACATTAGGTCCTGGAATGTCTTCAAACGCACCACGGCAAGCTGGGTGAACAGTGCCAGCACATGTTATTTATCATCAAGAAATCCGAACTGACCGACAGTTCAACGGACTACATCCTGCTGAGCACGTGCAAGGAGATGATCCATCAGTACTGCCGTGACACGGAACCGACCACCGTTTTGGGTTGTCTGAAAATTCACAAAGAAGAAAACCTATTCGACGGCCGGTGCCATCTGGTGGTGGTCAATCGGATGATCGAACAGAACATGGACTACCGGTTCAATCCGATGCTGCAGAATGCCTGCGCGCGGGATATCGCCGATCATTGCACGGACATCGTGGCTGGGGCGAAAGCGAACGAAGAACTGAACGGTAAGGTGATCGATTGTTTGAAGGTTAAGTTCCGCGAGGGAAAATTGCACACGGAATGCGAGAAACAGATGACAGAAGTCCTGCACGAGCAAGCGTTGAACTATAAACTGAATCCACTGTTGCAAAGCGTTTGCAAGGACGAAATTCAGGTACTGTGTAGTTCAACGGCTGAGGATACTGGGGCCGTGGAGGATCACGGCATGGTGGAAGAGTGCTTAAAGCAGGCCTTCCTTCAGAAGCGAATAATCAATCAAGCTTGCAAGGTAGAAGTGGCGGAACTGATCCAGGAGGGCAAGGCAGATATCTACGCCGATCCGATGCTGCAGCGAGCTTGTGCAGTGGATTTGCTCAAGTACTGCTCCCTTGTTCAGAGTGGCAACGGACGATGTGAGTGAACGGATGGATGGGTTGTTTCCAGTGGCGGCCCGTAACCTCACTTTTTACCTGTTCATCACCTTTCCAGATTTAATGCCATATTCATACTCGTACCCACTTAATATTCTATTTTACTTCGATTTCTATCCACTGCAAGCAATATTTTGATAATTGTTTATGTTTTGAGAGTTGGTACACAGGTAGAATGAGTTTAAGGAAACGCCACTGGTTGTTTCTAATGATTATTGTTCTAAAACGAGTTTGGATTTTTCAGTGCTGAAATGCTTGGAAGTCATCCTGCAGGACGAATCGAAGGCATTGGATGATGACTGCAAAAATACGCTGACAAAGCGAATGGAAATGTTCCGGAATGCTGCCGTGGTAAGTTACGGAACTGCATGGATTCGAAAGCTTGATCTTGTCCTCATCGACCATAACAATTGCAGGTGATACCGCAAGCGGAGAGCCTCAGCCAGCTGTACACTCAGGTGGTGGATTCGCCCTCGAAGCACTACTTCCTGCTGGTGATGTTTGGCTGCGTGAGCATAATCTTCATCTCCGGGCTGCTATGCGGTCGCGTCTCACGGCGGACGATCGCCATGAAAAACAAATAGTCACGGCGGTGCAGATCGTTTCGGCGCCCGAATGCCGCCAAACAACTGCTGATCGCTTATTTGTAAGTTTTCCGACTTTGGTTTTCCGTGGTTTTGCTATTTTAGTGGAACAAACCCGTTCGAGCCAATATGATTCAAGGAGAGTGTCATTCGTGGTGAGTATGGATGAATGATCAACACATGTCTGCCGTTGAACTTTCGTGTCTGTGTTAATAGAACTGGTATGATTATAGTTTAGAAAAAATAAATATCGCTCCTTCCAGCTACGCTATCACTACTAGTAATCCAAACTAATTTGTGTAAACGTAGCATTATTTTTGCGAGTAACATTTATGTTACTTGATTGTGGCGCTTGTCCTCGACCAACATTCTTTTGTAATATATTAGTTAGATATGTTTTGTATACAGACAGGACGAGCGCGAGACTGTGTTTTCACTTAAGTCACCTTTCTCCCTCCTATATGTGACTAATCCCCATTTCAATTGAAACAAAATTCTTGAAGAACAAAAGCTATACAAGTAGAAGTGAATCTATATGAAACAGAGAGCAACTAACAAGCGGATGCCGATGGCAAACATTATAGAAGACATTTTTATAAGTAGTTTTAACTTTAAAACAAAATCGTAAGGATAAATAATAAGAGAGTGGAGTAATATAAAGTTACAAAAGTGAAAATGTTTTTCCCATTTCTTCGAAATCCATTTCAAATGTTCTTTTATTGTTACTACTAGGGTGTCGAACCTTCCGACAAACTCGAACCAGTAATAGGCTGTGGCAAACACTGCATTCTGGTGTACATCCTGGCGTCATGATGATGCTCCACTACCGAACAACAACACTGATTCTCTATTCACCCAGCCGGAAACCTAGGAAGGATCCTTCCTCTCCTGCCAGCTGCCGACCTTATCGACCGATATGCCTTGTCTCAGGTTTATCAAAGCTGTTTGTACAAAGCAGTTTATCGCCGGTTTCTAACATCTGCCGAAGAAAAACACATCTTAATCGCGGAGCAGCTTGATTTCCGAAAAGGACGATCTACCGACTCGAGTAACAAACATTCCCAGACGGAACATGTTTGTTTCTAAAATGTGTACATTGGCATTATTAGACGCTGAAAAGCGTTTGTCAATGTCTCTCTGAATGGTATCACATCAGATGCCTTCAACATCTGTGCTGGTGTACGTACCTCAAGGAACTATCCTTGGGCCCATCCTGTTCAATCTGTTCACCTCTGATATTCCGGATCTCCGAAATGGTGGTACGTTGTCACTGATCGCAGATGACACGTCCACCGTCTACAAAGGAAGGGATGTCGGAATTTTAGCTGCTAAGCTTCAGAAAGGTTAGAATGTTGAACGCTGATGGCCGTAAGAGATCCAATGTTGTACGCATCGGCCTGCCCAGCATTTCCTCTGAAGGTGACTTCCCAGCAAGTGTTGCACTGGGCGTACAACGATACATTTGTAGAAAAGTTTGGAGCGCTTCGACTGATGGAACTTCTTCCCCCTCAACAATTATGAGCAATGAGCGTTTTAGGGTATCGACAAAGCGTTCTGCCTGGCCATTTGACTGAGGGTGATATGGCGCTGTACGAATGTGGATAATTCGGAGCTGCTGACACATCGTCTTGAATTCAGCACTACAGAACTGCGTTCCGTTGTCGGTGACAATAGTCTCCGGAATACCGAATCTGGCAAAGGTTTCCTGAAGAAATCTGATCGTGACAGCTGCTGTCGTCAAGCGAGTTTGAACAATTTCTGGCCATTTCGAATATGAGTCCACTATGACTAAGTACATTCCGTCAAGTGGTCCTGCGTAGTCTAGATGGATTCTCTTCCATGGACCGTCTGCCCTTGGCCACGGTTGAGATTGATAATGCGCCGGAGATTTTGCTGTACTGGCACAAATGCAACACCGACGAACCAGATCCTCAATATCATCATCGATATTGGCCCAGTAGACCACACTGCGAGCGATAGCTTTCATCCTTTCGATGCCTTGGTGACCCCGATGCAGGTGCTTTAGAACGCGTTGCCTGTAACATTCTGGTATCACTACACGGTCGTTCATCATGATGCATCCATTGACAACTGACAGAGACTCACGGCGAATATGGAAGGTCTTCAGGGTTCGATCTGCGATACTGCTGCTGTTCGGCCAACATCCGTCAATGTACTGTATGACTTGTTGCAGTAGGACGTCCTTCTTTGTAGCTGTCTTAATCATCTTGAAGTTCACTGGCAGCGATGTGAGACATTTTTCCAGGCTTGCGTTGACTTCTTCTTCCAGACTGACTGTGGCAATAACGTACTCTTCCTCGGGTTTTTGATGGTTGCTTATTAGCCGAGAAAGTACATCCGCATATCCAAAGTTGTCCGTTGCGATATATTCCACGTTGAAGTCGAATCCAAGCAGCAATAATGCCCACCGTTGAAGACGATTTGCAGTGTGCAGTGAAATACCTTTTTTTGATCCGAAGACTTTGAGTAACGGCTGATGATCTGTCTGAAGCGTGAATTTTCGTCCCAGCAGCATTCGACGAAACTTCGTTACTGCGAAAACCAACGCCAACGCTTCCTTCTCCACCTGGCTATATTTCTGTTCGGTGCTGGTCAATGTTTTCTAGGCGTGTGCTATCGCTTTGATCTGCCCATCCGGAAAACGATGCATAATGATGGCACCTATGCCAGTCTTGGAAGCATCACCTGCTACGATTAACTCGATGTCTGTGTTGTAATGCGTAAGCAACAAGTCTGATTGCAACACATTTTTGATGCTGTCTAAAGCGTTCTGGCACTGGTCACTCCATACAAACTTCCTGTCCTTTTTGAGTAGATCATCCAGCGGGTGCTGGATTCGATGGATTTCCCGGACGAACTTTCCGTAGAAATTTGCAGCTCCGAGAAAAGATCGGAGTTCGGTGACGTTTTTCGGTTGCGGCATTTTGGCTATTGAAGTTACCTTTTCAGGATCAGGTTTGATACCGTTGGCATTGATGATGAAACCTAGGTACCGGATTTCTTCTTTGTAGAAGTTGCACTTTTCCGGTCGTAGACGGAACCCATACTCTTGGATGCGAGTGAATAGTTTTTCCAAAATACGGTCATGCTCTTCTCTGTCCTTGCTGTGGATAAGGAAGCCATCCAGAAAACAATCCACACCTTCCAAGCCTGCAATCATCTTGCTCATCAATTGCTGGAAGGCTCCAGGTGCCGATTTCACACCGGGGGCAGGCGGTTGAATTGAAATAGCCCACGGTGGGCGTTGATGGTCAGCATCCGTTTCGAGTTATCGTCTACCTCGACTTGAAGATAGGCATCCGATAAATCAATAATGCTGAACACTTTGCTACCCGACAGCTTGGAGAAAATGTCTTCGGGTGTCGGTAGCGGAAAGTGATGTGGTTCGAGTACCGCGTTCAATCCTGTAGAGTAGTCGGCGCAGACTCGAATTTATCCTCCCGGTTTCCTAACCGAGACAATTGGGGCTGCCCAGTCAGAGTAGTCCACCGGCTGGATGATGTTTAGCTGCTGCAATCTGTCTAACTCCTCATCAACTTTGGGCACTGAATGGAATGGTACCGGTCGTTTCGGCCTGAAGACCGGTTGCGCTTCGGGTTTCAGGTAGAGTTTCACCTTCGTTTTCGTGCAATGTCCGAGGGAATTACTGAAAACTTCGGAAAAACGGGTGAGGTACCAGTTGGCTGAATCGAATGAATTGGAACAATTTACCTGGTTGCAGATGGTGGTCAACGGCTTCTCCCAAACATCGAAAGCGTTCATGAAGTCCAGACCGAGCAAGTTCAGTCCGTTAACTGACGTGACGTGACAGGTTCCGTGTTGCTGCTCTTCGCCGATCTGCATTTCACAAGCAAACTCTCCTAGTAAAGGCAGCTGCTCGCCCGATGCTGTATTCGCTCTGTGATCCGTTCGCGAAAGAGTGGGTGAACCGCATTTCCTCCAGTTCTGCTCGGAGATGATGGTAATGTCCGAGCCGCAGTCAAGTTGAAGCTTCACAGAATGGCCGTCGATCCGGGATGATACGTACTTCCGCTCACTGTGTACTTGATTTACCGAATGAATCCTGTTTGCTTGACTTTGTTTCTTCTTGTTTTGCTTCTGTTGTTGAGGCGCTTGTTTGTTGTCACCGGCGTTGTTGACTGTTCGGTTGAAACAACTGCAGTAGCCCTCTTTGTGCCCCTGCCTGTTCATTGCTTGCAGATGTGGTTTGTGTAGGAACAATCTTTGACAAAATGCATTGCCCCACACTGCCAGCAGGCTGAACGAGGAACGGTTGCATTAGTTGAGCTGGCCTTCGGTTGCCTTGGTTGCTGATGCTGCTGCTTGTGCTGCTGAACGGCATGTACACTGGAAGTTGCTTGGTTTTCCACTAGCGCAGTGTCGTGTTTAAGGTTCGACAACTGCTGACACTCCGTGATGAGCACTTCGAGATTGATGTCCCTTCCGGCATCAGACTCCAACTTCGACAGAAGGCTGGGGGTGCGACACATCTAAATCTCAAATTTAGATGGTCGGAAAATCTCACGTTAGCGAATCAATCTACGAAAAATCTTGTTTCAACTCTTGTATCTAAATCGATCTACTCACATCGCTCTCCAACCATTTGAAGGAAATCTTAAAAATCTTCATTAATCTTCGTTCTACCACTAAGCTTGGGCGCAGCAAAGCGAAAATTTTCCTGCATCTTAGATAGAGTCGCACCCCTCGACAGAAGGCGCGTTATGACCTCCGCTTCTTTCGAAGACTGCATTCCGCAGATGAAAATCAGAGCTTTGAATTGGTCGATTGTGAGATTCGCCAAATCAAATTCCTCACACTGCCGGTTTACGATTCCGGCGTATGTGACGTAATCATCCGCATCACTTTTGACCACCCGGAGGCAATCGTAACGTTTGCTAAAAAGTGATTTTTGCTGACCGAAAATAACCTTCAGTTTCTGGACTACTTGATCAAAGGTTAGTTCGCGTGGATGCTGCGGTAGGAGGTAGTTTGTGAACTTCTCATGAACTGGTAAGCTCAAACTGCGCAACAGAAGACGTATTTTCGCAGCGTCGTCCAGCTCCCTACCGTCCGCTCTGAAGACGTCCTCGTATTTGTTGAACCACCGGTCAAGTGTCATTCCGGCTGCCGGATCATAACAAAATTCCTTGATTGCCGATGATAGTGATTCGACAATCTGTTCAGCGCTCCGCTTCGGATTAGCTGCTGGTGCCGCCTGCTGATTGGAAAGGCGCTCCAGAATAAGCAGCAGCTTCGTGTTTTGCGCCGCCATTTGCCTAAACAGCTCCTGTGGGGAGATCTCCTCGAACCCAGGAAACTCGTCGTTTTCTCCGCCTTCTGCGATATTAACTCCGGTTTTTCGATGACGACTCTTCAGAGACACTTCTATGCTATGTTTTCAATAACTTTAACTACTACTTTGTATGTTAATCATCAAAATAATCAGAACTCTTTATTTTTAGTAATCGTACAGTTCTCGTCATAGCAAAGATAAAAAAGTTTATTTTCTCTTCGCGCCAAGCGCACTGACAGTTAACGGCGTATAACGATGCACCACAGGGTTGTAGCTATGGGGTGGTAGCAACCAACTAGCACGAATTTCAGTTGGGTAGCTTTTGCTCATTTTGAAACATAATTTGGAATTCCGGGAAGCAT